TCTCTTTGTTTATACAGCGAGTGCGACTGTCACCATCAATGGGCAAACTAGATCGCCCGAGTTACTGAGGCTGAGGTGTCAGGGAGCGGAATTAAAATCAGTGAAGGTAGTCATTAACCTAAGAGTACTTGAGCATCCACTTGCACGTTAATTCAGCTCCCTGTCTCTGTCAGATACTGGAACTCTCCCGAACAGCTGCCCCGATGACCGCATCAGCTCTTGATGTTTAAACACAAGAAAATTCGACCAAATGGACAGATTGAAACAAAAGCCCGTTAAGAGTTAAAAAAATGTAAAAAATCAAAATCTTTCTGCCTTTGATATGCATTAATAGAGTGCTGATTGACGAGGCAGACACTCTAATACGCACAACAGGTTATTTAAGTAGGAGGTTGGTTTTAAATCACCTCGCAGAATATTTTTACCCTTAGGGGCTCCAGTTAAAGAGTGATGTTTAACTGCGCTCTTCAATTAACTTTTTCCTGTTGGAAAAGAGCTGAGATTTATTGTCCTGCAACCTGTCACATACGGTAAGCTTTAAGCAGCAGTTTCACAGAGGATGATCTGATTGGAGTGATTTAAGGCATATTAAAATATTCCAGATCTGAGAATACCACGCTCAGATCTCCTCAGTCATTAAAGCTGGCAGTTTCCAACGTAAGAGGGTCACTCTCCACACAGAGTTGGGAACATCCAGCAGTGCTAATAGACCCTTTATAAATCATTAGAATGTGATTATAATGATGCCTATGGGTCTGTTATTACTTCAATTCCCAGTCATTGGATCACAGACTGTCCTATTCCTGCTTCACTGGACTTGCTGTTCTGTTTACTCGGTGCTGCAACATCCACCGATCTTCTTCTTCAATAATAATATTAATATTAATAATAATTCTTGCATTTGATACAGCACCTTTTCACATCGTCGAGATATCTCAAATCGCTTCATAGCATAGTTTATAAAGTGTGCATTTTGTGGGCGTAAAGTGAATTGATAACCGGGTTCAGACTTACTGCTAGGTAAACAGAGACGTCAGAGTAAGGAAATTTGCCTAAGATTTCTCCCCGCCCGGGAATCAAACCCAAGTCCTCTCGCTTGTGAGGTGAGTGTTGTGCTAACCACTATGCGACACTATGCAATGAGCTCCTTTTATATAACACCTATCTCTTTAGTTGAGTCTTTGGGCAAACTTCCACCACATTTCTTTAAAGTGCTTTGAGATCTTACCTTACATTAAAGGAGGTTAGATAGGTGCAAGTTGTTGTATTCAGAGCTTCTGTTTATTGCCCAGTGTGAAGGGGCTGCTTGGTGATAATAATAATAATTGTTGCATTTATTACTGCACCTTTCACATTGGGAGGACGTCACAGGATATACTGAAAAGTGCAATGACTATTTTGTAGGCGAACTCAGCAGCCAATTTGCACGCAGTAATGTCCCATCTCACAGCCATGAAGTGATTGAACATTTTCACTCGCGGATTGTTGGCCAGGACACTGGGAGAAAACTCCTTTCTGTTCTCGAATAGCATCGGGGGATCTTCAACGTCCACCTGAATAGGCAGATGAAATCTCAGTCTAACATCTCATCCGAAGGATGGCACTTTTGATGCTACTACTGATAATAATCCTTGCATTTGAGATAGCGCCTTATCAGATTGTCTCCCCACACTACATTGGAGCATCAGTTCAACTATATGAGTTCAAGTTCCGAGACACAACACTTTAGAAATGCAATAAACGTCCACTACATCTTCTCTTGTCGTTTGGTCTTGATGCAACAGATACGTTTGAGGACAATGGGTCTGCAGTCTCTCCGCACCCAGGCACAATTACAACAGCTGTCAACAGCAACGAGTGCTGAGGAGCAGAGGTCCACTGTGTTTCCCCTATTTCGCCCACAAAATGTACAGTCAATTCACTTAAAGTATATTCTGTGCAGCGCTTCGAGACGTCTCGAAGACGCGATAAGGCGCAATATCAAATGCAAGGGTCATCATTATTATTCCCCAACCCTGTGAAGAGGATAAGATCTATATGGTGTAGAGAAAAGCTGTATCTTAGCACCATCTAGTGCCCAGTGGAGCACGGACATGGAGAAAGTGAGCAAAACAGTCATGTTTCTGAACACATTTTTTCCATTACATCCAGTTCAGTCAATGGGTTTGAAATAGTGAAAAATCTTGGTGTGTAATATATCTATTTCAGTACTGAATTCCCAGAAGTTTTACAAATCATATTTCTGCTGATGTAGCAACACAAGGGATTTCCTCAGCTTTTCTCAGGCTAAAATACTCTCCCACCACCACCCAAAATGAACCTCATTGACTTCTCTTAATTGAAACCCACACTGCTGGTGTTATAACTAGATCAGGTTGGGCTGTGGGACTTTGCTGGCACAATTAGCTGCAACCTTTGCCTACTGTTGGAAGGCAAACTGGATGGACCTTGGGCTTTTTTTTGCCTAGCATTTCTTATGTTCTTCTCCAACCTAATGTTGACAAAACTAAGGCTTGGCTCCCGACCCAGTTTCCTTGCCTGAGTAGCCGAACGTATCAACCTCGACTGTCACTTGCTCCAGCTCACGGAGCCTGTGCAGAACCTTGTTGTTTTGTTCGATCCTTAACTCTCCTTCGACCTTCCATCCGGGGTCTGAGCAAGTCTGTTTTTCTCCATCTTCACAACAAAGAATACCATCTCCTTGACTGTGCCTTCGATCAGTAATAATAATAATCCTGGCATTTGATAAAGCGCCTTCGAGATGTCTCAAAAGCGCTTCACAAGATATACTGCAAAGTGAATTGACTGTATGTTTCGCGGGCGAAACGCGGCAGCAAATTGTGCCCAGCAGTGTCCCGCAAACAGTTGTGGATTGAATCACCGATCAGCTGCCCTCTCTCCACCCCCTGCTCAAGCTCCCACTCAAATTCTGTAATCTGATTTGAAACGTTCTCCAATGTGAAAGGCGCCGTATAAGTGCAAATTTGTGTTTCTGTTTGGTGTCACTTTGCAGTTTCTTGATCTCAAGCTCTGTGACCAGCAGAATCTTCAGCCATGAGCAACTACCAATTATTAGCTACTGTGCAGTTAGCTGCTGCCACATCTCATCTACCAGCTCCAACTGGGAATTCAAGACCAAATCCACTGACTCAACGTATACACAGATTGAAGCACTGGCTCACATCCCTTCCCTTCTGTGAGACAATGGATTTGTTTTTAAAAGAGCTTCACCACGTCAAAATATCAAATCACAGCAAAGTTCCCTTTCTCCTTCACATACTTTAGGAAATCTGCCTGGGTTTTAGATTTGGGGTGCTTTGATTTTTCAAATATGCTGTGGATTTAATATGTGGGCAAATGTGGCAACCATTTGCACTTACAAAGGTCCCAGTCATGAGGTGAATGACCATTATTCATATTCTTCCACGTATAAAGGCGATGTTTTGTTCCTTAAATTGTTCGAAAATTGCTACTTGCCTTACATTTGCGGACTAACCAGGGTGTGGGTCTAGGAAGATTGCACGAATGTTTATGCAACTCAATTTTTTTTGCTGCTCAACAGAGAGAAACTCACAGAGAGACAGAAAGAGAAAGAGAAAGAAAAGGGCTGGGACAATGAGATGTCAAGCTAACCATCGGCCATTAGGTTAATTTTAATATAATGTCCTATTGTTCCAAAATTATATGAAATGTGTATTTTGATTGCTCTGTAACTACTCTTATTTATTTCTTCAAATATACCTCTGAAAAAACAGAGGGGAAGGGTTGCCTTATAAATGGAAGTCACTTTATATTCATCACCACATAGCAATCTGGAGGGTGTGTTGACTGACTCAGACCAAACTCCGTACCCACATCTCACCAGTTCTGGCCCAGGCTCCACTGGCTCCCCATCACCGAACGGATCAACTTCAGGATCCTCACACTCATGTTCAAATCCATTTGCTCCCTGGCACCTCCCGACCTCCTTACTCCCCAATCACCAACCGGCGCCTCCGCTCGACTGGCACCGGCCTCCTGCTCGTCCCTCACACCCTCCGCCCCACCATCGGAGGTCAGCCACTACGCCTCAAAACTCTGGAACACTCTCCCTCAATCCCTTCACCTCGCCCCCTCTCTCCCCTTTCAAGTCCTGCCTGAAAACTTCCCTCTTCAACTATGCTCATGGCTACCTCTCCTCCGCCCCCCCCCACCCCTGGCTCAGAGTCAGGCTCTGCTACTGTGAAGTGCTCTGAGACGCTACCCTGAGTGGAGGGCGCTATATAAATGAAAGTTGTTGTACCTGTTTTCAGATGCTTAGCTTCCAGCAAACAAGACATCCGTTTCTCAAGCGAAAGACTCACTTCCAACAATGGCTGGAACTCAGAGTGTGAGCTCAGTCCTGACACCAGGCTTGAATCCACTACCCTCTGCTCCAGAGGTCACTAGCCAAGCCAAGTTGACACCAAACTGTAGAGTTCCCAATCTGCACGTATTTAAATGGCAAATATTGACCCTAGCATTCTCCGGACAGACTTTCCGGTACTCAGTATGCTGTACACACCAAGGCCGTGACACTTGGAGACAGCGGATCACTTCAGAAGTCCTTACTTCTGGTGGGAAATGGGTTTTTGCTAAATCCTTTGTTGTTTTTCTAAAGTTTGAATTGCGGAATGAGATTACAGTGGCAGTAATCCAAGGCTTTGACTGTTGGTTATGGATATCTCCAGATTATAAAATGTCTGAGCCAAACAACATTTCAGGGTAAATAACTTCAATATTTAATTAATTTCAACAGCAGAGTTTGCCAATCATCCCTGTATTCAGGGTAAAAATAAGGTTACGTTGCATCACAAACTCCACGTCAGACTCTCCCCTCTTCCGGGGTCTCACCATACAGCATTCCCTAACCACACAGAGAGATACAGACACCGATGTATCACTGCAACCTTGCCTCAGATTTAACACCACCCATTCACCAGGAGCCAAGAGCAATTTGAATAATCAACCCAGGCTTGTAGTCGTTCACACAATTTATCGCATTTTATTATTCTTGAAAGAAAAAGTTATAAATAATTACGACTGCATTTTGTTTTGTTATAAAATGAACTGGATGAACATTGTGAATCACAGCAAACTCCTCAGTCTTTAAAGGTAGGTACTGTACTGACAGCACGATCGCTTGTTCCCACTGGAACACGCAGGAACATTTTGTCATTGGAAATGTCGACTCAATACTTCAGGTTTCCAAGCCAATGGATACAAGGCTGAGTTTCCTCAGTCTTGTACACACTTTTTTGTAGTGTGAAGTGCGGGGACATGTCATTGCATCCGTGTCTGCTCATTTTACTGTTGTCCCTGTGTGTGTTCTTGTTGTGGCTTTTCGGCGGTATGTCCCTGTTGCTGCTGTTGATCCTCCTGCATTTCCTTCAGCAACTCTTGCAACCTTAGATCTAATCCCGGATCCAGCTTCTCCGCAGCCTGTTGGCTCGAGCTCCCGGCTGTCCACTGCAACACCTGCAGGTCAAAACATACTATTAGAGGAACTACAGGACCAATGTGTACCTAGGATCAAGGTAGTCATCTAATCAAAGAGGATTCGGATGGTTTATGGACGCATGGAATCCAACAACACATTGAAAAGCTGAGGCCACATGAAGACAAATAACAGTGACAGCTTGCATTGATATAGCGCCCTTCACATAGAAGGTCTCAGAGCGCTGATACAGCTACTGCAAGGCTCGAGTGGTTTATCTCAGCCCCTTGATGCTGTTACCTTGGGAACAGATCGTAACAGCTCTTATTTCTTGGTAATAGATTGCAATTAAAACTAATTACTTTCCGATTTGGGGCTTTCTGGCTTTGGATATTTGCTTGAACACTCGGGAACTGTGGCAGGAGCCTGTCATTATCACCGAGCGAGCGACACAGAAGGGGAAACAGCACCGTGAGGTTTGAAGAGCAACCACATCGCGATCCATTTCCCTGCAAGGTACAGGGGCTTATTGCTATTCACGCATACTACACACAGCATAATCTGATACAATCAAGACAGCCAGAGGAAGTGAGCTATGCTCAAGTGGTTGGTTTATAAAATAATCATCTGATCACAGTTTGGTCACTGGTTGCAAATCTCTCCAGGGCACCCCAAGGTCGCTTTGCTCAGTATACAATAAGATGGCATACAATTTACATTTGTAAAGCACCTTTCACATTGGGAGGACGTCTCAAAGCGCTTGATACTCCTGGCTGGTCACTTGAGCTGGGGGTAGGAGCCGAAGGAGGCGTAGAGGAGAAAGGTGACCAAAGGTGCGGTCAATTTCTATGTTTTAATGACATTTTTGGCTCCATTTTGGTGTTTACAGCGACTCCAGAAGCAGCCAGTCACTGATAGTCTGAAAGATAATGATCCTTGCATTTGATATCGCGTCCTTTCACATTGGCGAAACCTCTCAAAGGGCTTCACAGGATTTTACTGGAAGGTGTAGCGACTGTGCATTTTTGTAGGTGAATGCGGCAGCCAATTTGCGCGCATCCAATGTCCCATTAACAGCCATGAAGTGAATGTCCAATTTTAGGTTAATGTGGCTGATCTAAAAGGGCATTCACTTTGGAGGATATAACTGAGAGGTTAGGATTTCAAATCTAGAGAGGAATAATTCATAGTCAGTTCTTACGCAATTCCATGGCTTAATTTTCAGTTTTACAATACACAGCCAGTCTCTGGCAATTATGTGTTTGCATTACTGACTTGCACACTTCTGTAAGATGAGAAACATTCACAGCGAAGTCAATTTTCTTGATCGACAGCCATGGCAAATTTAACTTACAGTAAAAGAGCTTTTTTGAAATGAACTGTACATAATTAATGTGATCCAGTATTGGTAACAGATAGCTTTCTTAAAATAGGCATAGACATTTTGCACTCGAATGTAAATGTAAAGGGTAATGAGTCGGGGATTTAACCTTCAATAAAAGTACTTAACATTATCTTACATCTCACACAACACAATTGTTGGTGTGTGTAAGGGCAGCGGGGCACAGGGGGCAAGGAAGGGTGGTAACATCTATCCTGAGGCAAAAATCACATTAGTTTCCCAGCAGCTGGTATGCAAGAGACTATTACCGACCTGTCTGCTCCCTCTGTTCAGCGGGCCTTCAGCCTCTCTGTCCCCACCTTTTGGAACTCCATCCCAGTCCAATCACCTCGCTCCCTCCCTTGCCTCCTTCAAGGCACGTCTCAAGACCCTTCTCTTTGACCGCGCCTTTGGTCACCCTCCTACGCCCCACCTGCCCTCCGCCCCTCTTGATCCCAACCCATTCCTCTGGTCCAAATTCCTGACTGTCCAGTGCCTTGACACGTCCTCCCAACGTGAAAGGCGTTGTACAAATGCAATATGTTTTTCTTGCTATTATTACTCCTGTGAGGAATCTGAGAGGGATGGATTATAATTAATAATAATAATCTTGCATTTGATACAATGCCTTTAATGCTGTAATGTCTCAAAGCCCTTTGCTGTGGAATTACCTTTAAGTGCTGTGACTGTATTTGTAGGCAAACGCAGCAACGATACAGTACAGTTGAATTAAAACTTATTCTTGCATTTGGCCCAAATAACTAACAACCTTCATTTTATTTCCAGTCATACTTTAGTAAGTGTTTCCCCTCCTTCACCATAAAACAAACAGTGATCCACGAGTTGGCAAGCAGGCTTTCACTTCATCATTCCCTCTTCCTCCGGCCCCCACCCACCCCAACATTGACCCCCAATCACCTCTTCGAATGTTCCTAGGGTCACCTCTCCCTCTTGCAACCCGGTCCCTGGAAAGTGCTCCGAGACGTTATCCTGTGTGAAGGGTGCTAGACAAATTCAAGTCGTCGGTTGTAGAATGCGCTGTACTTACTCCTGCTTCACCCCTCCGTCGTAAAGTAATTCCCTCCGCTAGGAGTGCTTTGCTTGTTTCCTCGAACAGCCTCTCCTCATCGGTTTCCCCTTGTGCCTCAAGCGCTTGGTATTTCTCCACAAATCTACAAACAGTAGGTTGAAGACTGATTGAATATTCATAGTCGATCATCTTAGAACTACCCATCTAGAAAGCTTTACAGTGGTCAGTGAAAGGCACTGTAGTAAATGTAAGGATTATTATTAATAATAACTCTACTTTGGTTAGAATTAAGGGAAAGCATTCCTCAGCAGATTGATGGTGCAACTGATGCAAAATATTAATTGTTTGAGGTACTGTTCTTCAAATACAAAGTCACTATACTTCATAGAAAAACTCTGTGACGCACTTTGAGATGGGCTCGACATGAAAAGGCATTGTATCAGATGCAAGGATTATTATGATGATGAGATGTTAAACCGAGGTCCACTCTGTCTGTTCAGGTGGACGTAAAAGTACTTAACACAATTCAAAAAGAGAAGTTCTGTCCAACAACCCCCTCCCCCCAAATAAACAACAATCTCAGGGAGGTGTTACAGTTCACTTGTATGCATATATGGGATATTATTAGACATAATAGGCCAAATGGGTCTTTTTGTATGCGGTACATTTCTATTAGGGTTCCTTACCTCTGGCAAGTGGAGGTGAAATTGGACTGTGTGAGATCAAACAATTTGGGCCCATTCCCGTATAATTCATAGAATTTCCTGCAATTAAAAATACAAGCATTACAGCAGTTTAAGCACCGTCAATGGGACAAGCTTAACAAGCAGCCGGTCAAACATCAGCTAAAACCTCAGCTCGAGTCCCAGTCTGTGCTGAGGTTGCCGTACTCAGCCTGGGCTGGATGGGGACACTAAACTGGCATCAGCCTTGCCAGGGAGGTGAAAAACAGCCAGAATTCCTGCTCCTCTAAGACACCTTTTGGAATCTATGTGGAGTCTTGTAGCTCAGTAGTTAAAGCACTCGCCTCACAAGTGGGAGACCTGGGCTTGATTCCCGGCAAGCTGAAATGTTGGGCAAGTTTCCTTACTCCACATGCCTCTGTTTACCTATAGCAGTAAGTAAGAACCTGGTTGTTAGTCGATTGGTGGATCATTTTTACGGGGATAAAAATTCCTTTAAAAAAATAACAAATTGGTCACTGTTTGTGGGACACTGCTGCGCGCAATTGGCTGCTGTGTTTCGCCCACAAAATATAGTCAATTCACTTTACAGTATATTCTCTGAGGCGCTTTGAGACGTCTTGAAGACATGATAATCAAATGCAAGGATTATTATTTTTTTCTACTGGTGTCAGGTGAGGAGAGAGCAGACTCAGATGAGTAGGCTGTTATCTCGGATTTGCCAATGGGGAGAAAAATTAGAAAATAAGTGGGACACGTTGAATTAAAACAAAAGAACATTTTCACGCTTACCCTCGGATTTTGTCTTCCTGATAGAAAATTTCCTGAATGGGGTCTTTTATTTTTCCAAATCTTTCCTTCGGTTTCATGTACAGTGGTTTGAGCTTTGGGGGGAACGCGGCGTAAACATCGTACCACAGGGGCTTTTCGGCTTGCTTGATAACACCAGATCGTATCAAATCCCGTACCCTGTGTTAACAACAGAAACTGAGGTCAGCGAGCCTATGAGCCTATATTGAACTATTGAGCCAATTCTCATTCCCTGCCTTGCGGACCTGCACATGTACCCCCCCCCGCCCCCCCCCCCCCACACCACATACACCCCCAACTCCACCGGCCGTGTAAAAGTTATAAATTATACAAACAATCAATGCCATTTTTCCGACTAACTACGAACATTTAGTAATAATCGACTGACAGTTTTAGGAAGAAATCTTCCTCACCCACCCCGATATCAACAAAGAAAAAGCCCCCTGCCAACACTACTCCGACATTTGCCCTGGCAGCCTAATGCCGCCTACCACAAACTGCTTAATCCAGGTCTTTGTGTCTGGGGCATTGGCAAAGAGATGTGCCCAGTGTAAAGCCAAGAGCCCCTCTCTCCAAGGTACTCAGTGACAGGTTAGAGTAGACCGTTTCTCCTTTTTCTCCCCCAAATCTAACCTCACACCTTTGTTCTCGGACCAAAGAAAACCGTGAAGGTCTGTTTGGACACATGACCCATATGCCACGAGCTTCTCCTGCATTGGGATTTGCTATGATTAAATAAGAGACCATCACCACCTGGGCAACTCCCCCCACCCCCCCAACAGCTGGACAACCACCACCCCTACCTCCAACCCTGAACAATCCCCCCAAGAGCTGGGCAATTGACCCCTTCCCCCCAACAGCTGGGAAATCCCTCCCCCCAACAGCTGGGCACCCCCCAAACCACCAGACACCCCCAAACTGCTGAGCAACCCTCCACAACAGCTGGGCAACTGACCCCCCCAACAGCTGGGCAACTGACCCCCACAACAGCTGGGCAACTGACCCCCCCAACAGCTGGGCAACTGACCCCCACAACAGCTGGGCAACTGACCCCCCCAACAGCTGGGCAACTGACCCCCCCAACAGCTGGGCAACTGACCCCCCCAACAGCTGGGCAACTGACCCCCCAACAGCTGGGCAACTGACCCCCCCAACAGTTGGACAACTGACCCCCCCAACAGCTGGGCAACTGACACCCCCCAACAGCTGGGCAACCCCCACCCAACAGCTGGATAACCCCCACCCAACAGCTGGGCAACCCCCTCTCCCAACAGTTGGGCGACCCCCACCCAACAGTTGGGCGACCCCACCCAACAGCTGGGCAACCCCCCCACCCAAGAGTTGGGCGACCCCCCTCCCAACAGCTAGAGCACCCCCACTCTCCCCCCTATAACCAGTTAACCCTCCCATCGTCCCCCCCCCCCCCACCCGAGGTGACCTGGTGAAGATGGTGCCGAACTTCTCGAGCCTACTGCCGGCCATGTCTCCCTCCCTCTCTCCCCGCCCCGCCCCAGCAGAGCAGCGCCCACTCCTCCAGCGACTGCCAATCGAGCCCAGATCCCGTTCCTCCAGCCCGAGCAATCGATCGATGCTCTGGTGCTCTGGCGCTCCGAGCAGCGAGCGAGCCGCTGCCTGTCTGTCAGGTCACGCCCCCTTAATTGGGCGGGGTTCACGCCCCCAATTGGGCGGGTTTTGGGGCTGCATTGGGCGTGAGACAACACGCTTTGGGGCGGGCGACTCATTTTTTAATATCATTTTTTTAATGCTTTTTTGTTAAAATTTTATAACAGAAAGTAAAGATGGAGACCCTTCCTCTGCCTCCGTTTCAAAAGCGCGGCGCCTTAATTGGCCGCTCTGCTGCCATCTATGAAAACAGGGTAACCCGCCCCCCCCAAACAAGTCGCGATAATCATTTCCTCAAGCGCTTATTGGACGTTATACTACATCATATAATTATAATCATTGTTATAAGTTTTCAAGACTGAGCGGACAGACGTTTGTCGGGTCAATGTATCAAGGGATACGGGACGACAGCGGGTAATTGGAGTTGAGGTACAGATCAGCCATTGCCTCACAGAACGGCGGAACAGGCTCCAGGGGCTGAATGGCCTCTTCCTGTCCTGATGCTCCTTCGTGAAAAGCTCTCTGAGACGCTACTCCGAGGGCGCTATATACGTGCACGTTGTTGTCGTGGAACGGTGCACTACGAGTCCAAGTCCAAGTTGTAGTCGGTGCTCTGAGACGCTCCTCAGTCTGGAAGGGCACTGTGTGGCTATACGATGTTGTCATGGTCTTGTGTTGTATGACATTATTGAATATTCTAATTTTGTTCAAAAATAATATTAACAACTTTATCAGTTATTAGCGAGCAGAACACCACACTAGTGAATTATCACTGAACACATGTTGGGAGAGGGCAGAGAGATGTGAATGGATTGCCATTAGGAATGCAAACACTGGATGTTTCTCCTTTCTTCTTAACCCATGGCCACTGAGGCCAATCGTGGCTCGAGATCAGCGAACTCAGCACAGAAGACATTCTTGTTGCACGTTGCTCAGTTTCATACCGTGCCATGCTTTTACGAACTGAGCTTACATGAGAGGGTAGTAGTTGGCGGGGGGGGGGGGGAAGAGAACAGAAAGAGGATCAAATTAAATTTTAATGAAAAGAAACTATGCTTCTAACCAACAAGGCAAGGGGAGGGAAAAGGTTGCCTTTATGTAAAATGCTTCCACATAAAAGAAAATCATATCCAGGCACTCAATTGAAATGTACCAAATTGCTGCCATTATGTACTGTAGAATTTACGATGTAGGTTAACTATGGTCTCCAGTGATGGGTCTCCATGTGCAGTACAAAGGATATGTTGTCAGCTATCCTTCACAACTCCTTGTATATACTTTGGATCTAATAAAATGTTTCCTTTAGATTTGTCTATAGTCGTTAAACGAGCCGAGGCACAAATGGGACATTTATTTTATTTGAAAGCCGTCTGCGAGAGAGATCCTGATCGAAGCCAGCATTTCTTGGCGAAGTGAAGCTGTGATCACCATGGTTTAAACATTACTGCTGCTTGTCAGTAAACTATTTTCTGGGATCAGGTATAATTTTAAACTCTTTACAAACTGCTAATGCATGTTGATGTCATCAGGCTGAAGGAAAGGAATAATTTAAACATTTAGTACAGAAAGGGATTATCTTATGTGCAACAGAACCTGGGCTGCTAGTCTCCTATAATAGGTATTAAAATACTTACTGTACAATTTATTGCATCACTTTCAATCACAGTGTGTGAACTGGAGCCTTGCTCAGCTACAGCTCTAGGGGTGGGAAATGGTTACCTTCAATCGTGCTTCTGTCGTCTTCTTCCCCCCCGCGCCCCCACCCTTTCCATTTGGTCATCATCTGTATTTTGTATTTCCTAGCGCCTTGGGACGTCCTCCCGACGTGAAAGGAACTATACAAATGTAATTTTGTTGTTGTTCTCTGTCTCCCCCCTTTCCATTCCAACCATCTATCTCTGGGATTTCCATGTGTAGGTGGGATGCATGGTATTTTCAGCTTGGTGTGGACACTCTTAAGCATGGTTTGCTTAATTCTTTGTCGAGAGCACCCATGTCTTTGTCAAGCGCTCTGGGAAGAGCTCCCCAAAGGCAAGTCGTTGCCGACAATTGCACTCGCTACAGAGCAAATTAATTCTCTTTGCAAATCCGCTGTAGTGCCTGGGTCTTGCCACAAGGCAGCGCCGCAACTTAACCAGCGCCCCCGTACCTTGTGGAGGTGTGTCTGAGTCCAGCCACAAGGTGTCGCCAGGCTGGACCCACACAATGTGCAGCTGGAAATGGAGCCACAGGAGTGGAGGAGAATTAAAGAGTCAGCTTTGGGAAGAATTATCACCGCCCTCAATGACTGTCCGATATTTTCCCATTATTAATTTTGCTGCTGAATGCATTTGCTCAAGGCAGGAGCGCTCCAGAGTTTACCGACCGGCAAGGCTTGGGAAAGAATGAGCCTGAAATACTGCGAGAGCTGAATTAATATAATATCTGTGCAGATATAGTCTTTAACCCCTACGGGCTTCTGTGGTCTTTATCATTTCAGGCACGTACATCCATTCAGCTCCCTCGCTCCCCCAGATTCAGCAGAGCTTCCCAAACAGCTCCCAGCGAGTCCCTCAACACACATCGTCACCCGTTTAAACAGTACATTTTCTAAAGCACGCCCATGTCTTCCAATTATAATTCTTCATCACACCACACGCCCCCCTCCACGCCTGCTCCTCCCAGGAAGATCTAGATTAGGGAATGTTAACGCCAATGTTAACATTCCCTGGTACAGAAATCAGGCCATTTGGCTGATCAGACTTGGTGCTTTTCATCCACATGAGCTACCTTGTCTATAATAATAATCCTTCCACTTGATATAGCACCTTTCACGCCTGAAGGGCATTTGAAAGAGCTTCACAGGGTATATTGCAAAGTATAGTAACTGTACTTTGTAGTGGGGGGGGGGTGAGGGGGGGGCGAGAGAGAGAGGAGGGGGTCAGCAGTATAGTGGAAGAGATTAGTCTTAAGGCAGTTTTCAAAGTAGGGAGAAAGACGGCAAATTTTTAATTTTGTCCGCGCCCCCACGGGCAGATTGTGTAAACCTGCGAGGCTGAGGATTAATGACGAGAGTCAGGTCGGTTAATGCCAATCCTGGATGCAGCACTATGGAGGGGGGTACGAGGGGGATGTCAAGCAACATTCATTCAGCACGGACAGTGTAAAAAGCATAAAGAGCGGGCAGTGGATCAGCAAGTTGCAAATGATAAATAAAGGGAACATCTTTCCCGGTAAGGAGGAGTCATTTTACAGCATCTTCTGCAATGCGTTTTGAGAGGCGCTAAATCATAGGCAAGGATTATTATTAAGATGGAACGGACGTGATATCTTATAATGATGCAGTTGCCAATCGTTACAGCACCATCAACGAGGCGCAGGAGAATCTTTACCCCCCCCCTCACACCACCCCCACCTTCGGACGACACACTGAGGGTGATGTTATTAAAACATTCATCAATAGGACTGCGCTCGACTAGACGGGAGCCAGTGCCATCAAGACTGACAAATGTTGTCTCGGCACTGACAGCCCAGGCCCATTATTAGCAGCAGGTGGACAGACGCATCCCATTGTTACACACTCCACTGCCTGCCATTATCGTACAGCGATTTATTGCAATTTATTCTCGTTGAGCGCGCCAGCAGACAGCTGGGAGTGAGGACGACAGTCCATGTGATGTTCGAGATTTATTCTGCAAAGACAAAGGCTCCGAGCGAGGGAGCGAGCGAGGGCGATGCTTTATGAAGATTGATTGCACCATTAAAGTATCATTTAAATATAGAGCACATCGACCTTCAACCCTGAATAAATGCACCAAACTAATTAGCAGTTTAAATATTAAACTGTAGAGTCTTACACCACCAGCCCTTTTGGGGGAAAAAATGTAAACGTTATTTCAATATTCTTTGCAACCAAAGTAAATTTCGGAGCTATTTGGGGAATGCCGGGAGCAGCAGAAATCCGGCCTGGATGAATCGCTCAGTCCGGCAACGTGCCAGAGACAAATATCTGCAGATACTGTCACTAACCCTCAAGGGTGCGTGAGCCATCAATTCAGATTAATTCTGCTCACTCGCACTGTTGGGAGCAATAATACTTCTTGTAGGGCAGCTGCCTCCTCTACTGCACTAAAACAAAGCAGATCAGCGCAAGGAACGGAGACTGTGGTGTACATCTTGGTTGGAACCATAGAAATATACAGCACAGAAGATCATTCGGTCCATGTGTCTGTCTATGCATGGTTTTGGCTGGTTAAGCTCAAAAACAGTTACTGCCCTCCTCTTCCCCCCCCCCCACCACATTCCAGGGGTCCCAAAGCCGTTGGCTGACCAACCTACACCTAATGCTTTCCTGGATTAGGTGAGCAGATTGTGTTCCTCCGGGGAGGGAATGCACATTCCATTCCAGACACTGGGAAATTTCCGTGCTCGTGTGGATCTCGGTCTGGTCGGAATACTCTTTGAGCAAGGCCATGGGTTTCCGTGTGTGTCAGGAAGCCTGGCTGCCCCTCCGCCCCCCCCCCCCACCCCCTCCCCACTCAGGATAAAGTGCTGGTTTGTACAACTAACTTCAAAATTTGGACTTGTCATCTGGGGGGGGTGGGGGTTGAGACATGTTCAGAACAAGTTCCCAGGAAAAAAATCAGTGCACTGAAATGGCATCCTGTTCCTATGTTGCTAAATTCAGAAGGGAAAGGGTTAAAGCGAAGTGAAACAAAGTGGGTGGGGGGGGGGGGGGGGCGGGTAAAGGTAAAGAGAGA